GCACTCTGAACTAACCTTAATGGATATTCACACCATTTGGGTAAGAGCATTATGAATCTATTTTCTGTGCTTTTTAAACTAGCACAATTAGAACATCAGACTTAAATGATATTTTCAGGCTAGTGTAGAAATACAGAAGTTTGTTGTGTGGTCTCATGATACTGCTGTTTCTGATGGCAAAGCCTGATATTCTTTCAGTTTGTACAGAAATGCCTGTTGTCAGAAGTTGCGGGTTGCTGAAAGCAGGTTCTTGCATCCTAGTCTAGGAGTAAGCTAACTCCTCTAATGTAACTTCTTGGGATTCAACTCTGACATTGTCACAGTTTATATATCCTATATGGGGAATAAATGTATCTATTGTACTGTTAAAACAGCTTCTAATACCCTGCATTATATAAACTACACAAATAATATAGTTTGCTATTAAATATATAATTTCCTGTAAATTAAGGATTGGTTTTCTCTTAATGAACTTGCTCTGTGTGACTGTGACTGACAAGGGAGGTGGTAAGTGTTTTGGTTTTTGTGTGTAATGTTGTTGTGACCTCAGAAATTAAAGTAGAGCCAACCAGGAATTCACTTGTATTTTAATCTTTGGGCTCCAAAGAATGCAAGCTGCAATTGCAAAGCACTGTTAATAAAAGCTGCACAGCTAGTGCTGTTATACCTTTGTCTCTTAGGAAGCAATAGACCTGGGAAATGTGGATAGCTCCAGTTCAAATCGAAGGCAATTGCTTGGCAGGGTTTTAATTTGCTCGCACAATTATATCTGCTGTACTTCAAAACTGTGTATAGATATGAATAATCCTGTCAAAAAGGAAAACAGTCTGGAAAGCACTGTGAGTATTCTCCCTAGTGTACAATTCTGTGCAGCAGTAACTTCACAGCTTTCAAGTCTTGCGTGCAACACAACAGCTGCTGTCTACTGTTAATTTTTTATTTATTGTTTTAGTTGGTTGGTTTGGTTTAACAACTTTTGGCTCTAGCTCCTACCCAGGAATTCCAGTGTATAATGACACTCTGGCATGAATCCTAAATCCTGTAGTGTGTTAGAAAATTGCATACCAATTTCATCACTCCGTAGTTCAGGGTGTTCATTGCTTGTCAGGGCTAGTTTCTGTGCTAAAATCTAGTATTGGTCTTTCTTCAGTCTTCATCGAGGGAGGTTTGTTCTAGTTCATAGTGTAATCATTGAAAGTTATTAAAGGGGGTTACTAAATGGACCTGATTAGAAAAAAGTGGACTGTGAAGTGGTGAGGTATTGCAGGGCTTGGTACTGTATTTTCACCTGTTCTCGCACAGTCTGAACTACTCCTGTGCTCTTTGTATTTTAGGTTGTTGAAGACTGGAAATTTATTGCTCAGGTGCTTGACCGAATGTTTCTATGGACTTTTCTTCTGGTTTCAATAATTGGATCACTTGTGTTATTTATTCCTGTTATTCATAAATGGGCAAGTATAATAGTACCCACACACATAGGCAGTACAAATGCATAAAGTAGTTTTAGATCTGTCTCCTGCTAATATGGCGCTAAGGAGTTTTGCAGTAGCTCTGTTTCCATGCATGTTCTTTGTAGACATGCTTCTGATAGAGTAAAATAAATAAAATATCCAAAGCCAGAAAATTATGTTTATATTGAAGCATGGCATCCCTAGGACACATAGAATTCAATTTGCTTATTGCCAGTCTACTAAGTTACTTGTAAATCAGGTCAGAATTAAAAGGACCTTCTCAAGCATTTGCATGTACGATATGTCAGAAAAGCATACACTGGCACCTACTGCAAAATAGAAGGATTAAAAATTTTTCAATGATGATCACTGTAGTCCAATTATTAAATTACTATATAAATTGTTATATTGAGCATTAAATATTTGCAGATATCTACTCAGCAGGGTTGCTTATTTCAATTTACTTTAATATGTGAAGGAAAATGTTTATCAGCTCTCTTGAATGTGTTGTAAAAGTATAAAGTTTCTACATAGTAAATTTAAAATAATAATGAAAATACAATTTAAACTTCCCATGCATTCAACATATAAGTAAAAATATTGATTTGGCTATGTTTTTCCTTTATGAATTTCCAGTGGAGTTTTCTTCTAAACTTAAAAGCTTGTTAATTCTATCATACTAGCATGAACATTTAATACAGTAAGCCTTAATATGCCTACAGGGTACATGTATATCGTTATCTGTATCAGCTATGGAAAAGAAGGCAAAGACAATTAAATGAATGCCCAAGTTACACAAGTATTCTAGTAGACTGTAATATTCAGATTTCCTTATTCTTGATAAAGAATTTGATATGGTATGTTATCTGCAAACAAGTTAATCATTTCCTGCCTTCGTGTGATAATCAGAATTATTTTTTAAGCACAGATAGATGGAATTTGGGGAATGCCTTTCTGAAGGAAATAGGTTCAGAATTACTATGCTGTGTTAGCAAATATTCACACATCTGTTAAACTGAACTTGGAAATCTACCTTTAATAGGTTCTCCCCTTTATACAACCATATGTAAACAGCTTTGCATGCTTTGGGTTTCAGCACTCTCAGAAAAATGAACTTGCAACTTTTTAAATAATCCATTAAAATATATTCTTTAAGTACTGATTTTAAATTCTTTACATTCATTCCAATGCCACCTTTCTTAAAAGCTTTATTTCCGGAGGAGTCTCTACAATAAATGGCAGTTTTCCCGCACCAAAGTTTTGTCAATGTACTTCATGGTATAGGTGCATCCTGCAGGGCTAATACAGTAACACCAAACTGGAGCAAGTCTTGGGAAGTTTGTTGTTGTGTTTTAAATTACTGCATTAACAGTAACATGTTTAGGTGAAAAGTTTAATGTAAATTGTGATGTCTTTGATAATGAAAGTTTTTATAGTGATTATGAATTTGGAAAATGAATACTTTCCCCCTATCCTTCTCCCTGGTATATCCTTCAGAATAGCACTGTTTGGTACTGTACTGATTATAATACTGATTGTTTCTGTCATAACTTATATATAATTGAATATTTATTTCAAATTGTTTTCACCTGTAGGCCATTCTTGTTTTTCTGTAGCTTTTTAAGGCTCGCAGACAGGGAAATGATGCCAGGCAAGCTTTTTAAAAATGTTTTTGGTTCCATCTTTTTTATTTTAATACCAATTAATAGATAATTCTCATTGTAACTCTTCTTGTTCAGTTATACAATTACATCTGGCACTGGATATCCATATTGCCTCTATTCCCATCATAAATAATTTAAAAAGTGAATGTGCGAAGATGATCTGGTTTAATCCATTAATATAATAAATTTAACTTTTGCAGTATTGCTAAGATTAAACAATGCATCAGTGACTTTCTCTGTGTGGAAGTTGCAGAAATACTTTGCATTTGAAGAGGAAATCTAAAATCTTTTTATAGTCCTCCTTTGAATTTGGGTTTGAATTACTGAAGTTTACTCTTACCTGAACAGAAAGCAAAGTAAGTGAAACTATAGATTAGCTATATATATAATGTCTTTTTAACCCCCCCCCATCTCTTTCCTCTTTTTAAATGATGTCCGTAGACTGCTCAATTATATCATAAGGTGATTGGCAGCATATTGGTCAATCGAGTCACAGTCTTTATAGTTGTATAAACTCAAAATTTTTGCAAATGCATGCATTTCTTTTAGTCACTTCTACAACCTGATCATGGTAAATACAGGTAAGTTAGCTGATACTAGAATCCTTGGGTTCTTCAGCTGATCATCTGGTGTGTCTGAAACAATTTTAATAGACTCAGAAGCATGGACCTTTACTTACGTAACTTCTTTCTGAATGTATTGAAATGTAGCTAATGCTACTACCTATAGAGGTTTTTGTCACTCGGTCAAAATAAATTTAAAAAAAAAGTGCACAATTTACAACAGCTTGATTGTCTTTATTTTCATATATGTTACATGACTTGATACTCTGTATTTTCATAAATGGTACATCACTTGATACTCTGTATTTCCAGAAAGTTTCCAGTTTAGTACAGAACAGTTCATATTTTTACAAAATATTTTCTCATTACAGTATTCTGTTGCAGTCTCTATTCATGCCCTTAAATTATCCGCAGTTACTGATTTTTAAAACCAGAAACGTATGCCTAAGAGGCAACTTTAGCATATTTTACAGAACAATTTCGTATCTGCCTGCCTTCCCTTGTCATAAAACACTGTAGTATAGTGGGATGCTTCTGTAGCCAAACTATCCTATCAAACTATTTTGATCCTTTGCATAACCAGGAGACTGTATCTTAGTGTGTGTTTTACTTGTACATAGTTTTAAACATTATTAAGTTTGAATAGCTTATTTTTTCTGACAGTCTTCTCATACATTGAAATATGGGGAGGCACAGTGTTTACATTATGGCTGCTTAATTACCATCATCTATTATTTACCTATTTGTTGTCCTTTTGTAATAAAGCTGCCTGTGGTGCTTTCCTCCCACAGTTTGAGTCATATGATACACCAGGTGGCAATGTCTGCATTCTAGTAATTTGGTATGTATGCTTCCTAAACCATTTGTTCTCATGAGGGCATGTGTCGAACTCAGCACGAGCTTGTTCCAAGAAGATCCTGTCATGGTCTGAAGTGACTTGGCACCAGAGTCATGGAAACAAACCTAATAGCCTAAAGTATTCAATCTGTCTGGACTTTCTGAATATTCATGGAATTTTCAGTTTCTTTATCAACCCCTTCTTAAAGCATTCCTATCAAGTTTAACGTACTACCTGTGTCTTTTCCAGTTACTGTAAAAAGTAGCTGTCGAGCATAGCTCATGTTACTTGGAGATGAGCGGTCATAAATGTTCAAAATATTTTTTTTCCTGTTTTCACATTTTTAACACCTTTAGTCAAGCAAAGTTGAGGCCAAGAGAGATCCTTACTCTACTACACATTGAAGAGACATGAGGTGCTGGAGTGGGGGTGCAGAGTTGGTTGGCAAAAGTTTTATTTGATTTCACAACATAGTATTTAATCTTTACATTTCATCTCCAGCCATCAAGGGTTGTAAAAACAATCCTGCTGTTCCTAGAATACATACCAGGATGAAAACCCACAGAAAAATACGATCGATTACCATGGCAACGTATTTCCAGTCATCCTGAATCTGAAAAATAAATTGAATAGGAAGTAGGCATATTTATTGGATGAATAACTTGCATTAGCAATTAGTACCAATTAACAGAGAGAGCATAGTTTTTTCCATATGTAGATGTCTTTCATCTCTGCACAACTGACTTATCTCTCTTTTCACTGACAAATGAATTCGTTTGTGAGACTATTTATTTGAATATGGTATTTGTGGCAAAGCCAAAAGCTGCTACTTCAAATACAGAGTTGTTCACTGAGACACTGGACTTCATGGGATACAGCTTCTCGTCTGTATGCCAACAATGAAAGTGAAATTCTTAGATTATCAGGTTTGTCTGGAAAACTTCAGTGAAACAGGCTGCTCCTACTGATCTTTAGGCAGTATGTAAAAAGAGAAAGGTTAACTGGTGTATAATTATTTGGTACATTTCCTATGTGGTACTGAAATGTAAGTGTTCTCATGCATGGTGTAAAGTCCATCATCTTACCTTCCTTGTAGAGAGGGAACCAAGCTTCCAAAAAACCAGATTTTTCTAATTTTCTTTTTACAGTGAGCATTAGAACAAGAGTGGCACTAAAGTATTATGTAAGTTGTAACTACATTAGGTGATCATTTTATAATAACTCTTGAGATGAAAATTTAATTTTTTACTTCATTTTTCTTCAGGAAAGCTAATAATAATGCATTCGTTGTTTTAGAAGTTTTGCGCTTTTTAGCTTAGAAGTTGTTTGATAAGGCAAACCAAAACAACCTCAGACTTTCTATACTAACGAATTCTAAATGAAGTTCTGATTTCAGCATAATCAAATACCTTCATTCTAACTTTAAGGTCTGCAATGCAGCTGATTTAAATTCAGTGACAATTGTGGTCGTGTTGCTACTGCTCTTAATATGTTTTAAGAACGTGATAAAAAGAAAACTAATTTTTTTTTTTTTGCGTTAAGATGCAGTTTTATTAAAGACGATGGTCCCTGTCCTGCAGCAGTTTACTCCGCAGCAGCAGCAGAATAAGCAATATCATCGCTGCAAAGGACATTCATTCTTACATTCTTTGTTATTGACAGTAAGCAGTGGGAGGGAGAATGTAGCTTTCTAACAGCAGAGTCAGCAAATTCCACTATTAAGATTATAACTTGGAAAATCCTCACTCGAAATCTTGTAGGATGGATACACAAGTGTGTTTCCCCAGCAGTGGTTACCTTAACATGCTTCACTCAGTGTATGTGTTGTCAGTAAAGGCAATGTTGTGCTGCTTCCCAACATTACCTGCATTCAAAATTACATATATTTTAGTACAGCTTCAGTAATATTTACTTCTATAAAATAATGGTCTGTGTTGTCCTTTCCTCCCCACCCCCCTCATCTTAGAAAGCACACTAATGGCAGATGGTGTCTGCAGTTTGAGTAACAGTAAAATATGTTCTTACCTCTTTTGCTTCGTTCTGCATTTTCATATTTTCTGCAATGTATTTAACACTCTCAATGGCATCTCTCATTTCTGGTGACAGAACTGAAAATGAAAACAGAGGATCTACAGACTCAGAGCTTGAACTTCTTGTGAGATTGCCACTGAAATCCGAGAACTTCATTCGTTGGTACTGACAACAGCTGCACGCCGTATCTTGACACACAAAGCCATCTTTGCAGCATTTGGTTTCAGAACTATTGAAGCAATTTAAGTTGGAAAACTCAGAAGTGAAAAATTGTTTTGGCTTCTGATTACTCTCTTCATCATTGGCAGGCCTTGTCATAAACATGATCCTGGGAAGTAAGTTCAAGAAAATGGTTCTCACCCACACAGGCATCGTGTGGGTCTTGGGTGTTCTGTAGTGCACGTTGAGTACAAATACCGTAATGACAATAGATAGAGTTACAAATATCATGGTGAAAAGGAGGTATTCCCCAATAAGTGGAATTACCAGGGAAGTAGAAGGTATGGTTTCTGTGATAACAAGAAGGAACACTGTTAAGGATAGAAGGACTGATATGCAGAGTGTCACCTTCTCACCACAGTCTGAAGGCAAATAGAAAACTAACACGGTCAGAAAAGAAATCAGCAGACATGGAATAATCATATTGATAGTGTAAAATAAAGGTAAACGTCTGATGTAAAGAGAATATGTGATGTCTGGGTATATCTCTTCACAGCAGTTGTATTTGATGTCATGTTTATACCCAGGAGCTTTAATAATAGCCCATTCTCCACTCTCCCAGTAATCTTTCAGGTTCATTGTAGAGCCAATTAAAACTAAGTCAATTTTGGCTTTATCGTAAGACCAGGAACCAAACTTCATGGTGCAGTTCTGATAGTCAAATGGGAAGTAGGTTACATCTATTTTGCATGAGCTTTTAAATATAGCTGGAGGTATCCAGGTCACATCACCCGTGTATTTTAATAGGGCCTTTGTCTTGTCATCAACCTGGAAATCCCCAACTGCACTGTAAAGCAAATAAAAAAAGCAAAAATTAGAATGCAGCTACTCCAGGTAGTTTCATATATTCAGATTATATACATTGACTCTAATCTGTTTCGGGGTAAGTCAACAATTACATGCTGACATGGAGCTGAACTGCATGTGCAGGACTGAGTCAGCTGTCATAAATTTGCATAGTTAAACTGAAATACACAGCTGTATAAATTTACCATGGAGAATTTGAAAGGAAATACTCAAAGCAGTAAATAGTATATTGCAAATGGCAGTCTGAGAGGATGATCATTGCAGGTCCCTTCCAACCGAACTATTTTATTCCAGATCAAGCACGCCACAACCCAAGGGCTGATAAGAAGATAGCTGCAGTACTGGTATTCCATCTCTTCTGTGGACAGTGCAGGTAGTAGCTATGGAAAGGGGGATTAGGGTTGGGTGCATCTTTGCATAAAAAGTGTGTTTGGTGAGGGTTTTTTTAAGCCCTACATTGCTATCCTGATCACATGGGTCATAGAAGATCTGTGTGACAATTTCAGTTGTTTATTTGAAAAAGTAAAACTAATAATGTGATTTGAAGTTTTAAGGCCATGGTTAGAAAAGGAGTGTCATTGCTGTTGTTCCACAGACCTAAGCTTTGGATCTGTGTGGCTAAGTCCATGTCACTGAGAACTGCTTCCCCACAGAGCAGAGGGATCCATTTAGTTACAGTTTGGCTCCTCACAGTCTCAGCGACTGACATCCAAAGTTAACCTTAGCTGTGGCTTTTATATGTCAACACTATTATCGTGAAAGATGGCAAATGGTGAGTTTAACTGCTGAAAAGCTAGAATTTGTAGGGTTTTTCAGTTAAAGGGCTGACTTGCAGACACGAGCCTTGCAGTCTAAGGGAACTTCTTTGCCACCTCCCTTGCAGACTGATAAAAATAATGCAAGAGTGAGCTCTTGTGACGGGGAAAAGCAAAGTTCCAGGTTAGGAGCTGACTCCTGCCCAGTGATGCTGATGTAGGTGGCGTGGAGGTGAGTACAGCACTAGGGGGATGTGGGACACGAGTGTGTTGAAAACCAGGATTTTTTCAGTTAAATCAGCGAATCTGCTACTGATTTTTTTTTAAACTAGTAACATCACCCCCCTTCTTTCTGAATTAAGAAGATAAATATGCAAGAGTCTTACTTGTTATATAAAACAATATCTGGCTTCCAGATCTGGCCAGATGGTACTCGGATGAATTCAGCACCTCCATAGTCTGCTGGATTCCACCGAAGCTTGTAATCATTCCAGATCTAATTATGGAAGAAATGAGTCTATGTTAGGTTTGTGAAGAAATTGAAGTTCAGTGGACTAGACTCAAATGAAATTTCTGTTTTAATTTGGACACTGCGATGGTTACGTATTTCGTAGCAAACGTGTCTGTGGCTTATTTGCATGGTGATAGTTGGTCTAGATGTGATTTAGGTGTGTGTGACTCCATGTCCTGGGAATGGCTACTCAGTAGCTGAAACAAGGTGAAAGAGGGAATAAGATACTCCCTTACCAGAGAGCGTGGGACTTGATTAATACCTGGCTTTTTGAGGCCTAAGTTACCTGTGAGGTGGTGAAAACATTCATAGGAGGCTCTGGTGCTAGGTGTGAGCAGTGAGTGGGGACCCTGCATAGAAAGGCTGCAGGGCGGCATTGCTCAGTTGTGACTTGTTCATTAGGGCTCGTTAAACCCCAGTTTAACAAAGTTGAATATTAAGCCGAAGCCTGGAATTAAGCTCTGTTATTGGTTATTGGAAGTTGGTTATTAAGCTCACTGCAACAGTGGGTAATTACATTTTTAACCTATAAAGATCCTTTTAAGTGAGGTCAGCTTTTTTGGTTTGTTTCCACTTTCCAGGAGCTAACAGCACCGAGCGATGCTGTGTGGGACCTCTGTGCTGAGGTGCTTTCTCTGTGCATTGGTGTCTGCGTTTGGGCGTCTTCAGAGCACAAATACAGTATTCAGCGACTGTGTTAAGTGTAGGAGGGTTAGGGCTGCAGCCGACGGCTCACAGCCCGAGTAACACCTGCACCCCGAGCCAAGCCCATATTTAAACGCTGCAACACCCAGGGTCGGTGGCGACGACGTTGTTTCTGGCCAGTCAGTTAACGAGGTGCGAGGTGCCCCCTGTCAGGGAGTCGGCCGGGGATGAGCAACGCTGCTGCCCTCGTCTCCAGCGGGGGCGGGCGGCTGAGGCGGGCGGCTG